ACTCGGCAAAGTCGGTCTTGTCCTTCTCCAATGATGGTTTTCTCTTCGACCGACTCCGGCTCGACTTTGATCTTGGTTTCCGGCTGATCGGCTTTGCGTTCTGACTTCAGAGTCTTTCCACAATGGAGGCATTTCTCCACTGCAAGAGGAACGGCAATGAGATCAGAAATGGGGCCTTCTTTGATTCGCCCTCATGAAATATTGCTGGACGAAGTAGGCTTCCTTTGTTACCCAGGCTAGTAGGAATCGTAGCCAAGTGTGACGTTGAAGAGGTGCCGTTCACTGACCTGAAACGATGCTCCTGTGGTACTAGTCCTATTCCAAGGGTGGAAGGTAGTTGTCGGGCTAGCCGATGTAGTGTTTCTTCTCCGATTGCCATTGTCTGGCATCCCGTGTCAATGGTGGCACATTGACATCCGTCATCCTGTTGGGTCCTCGAGAACTTGGATGGAAGGTGTCTCTCTTCCCTGGTCCTGCGGTGGTCATCGGGCTTATAATGATTTTTGGTTGCTCTCCCGTGCAAAAAAAATCACTAGGAGTCCACAAAATTTCATCCCCACAAAAATCCTCAAACCCGTCTTCCCCGATATCCACTCCAATCGCTGCGCATTGGACCTTATATCGGGAGTTGGATTGGTTTGATCCTCCAGCTACACTGTGGGAGCTGGAAACCACTTCAAAAATTCCGAATTTCGGCTCACGAGCAGGCTCAGCTGGGCTCGTCCCGGTCGAAGTCACAGCCACCGACGGAGGTATCGGTGAGGTTGTCCCCACGTCCTTCTCTACGTCGGAAGCCAATGGCCATGCTTCTTCCTCATAGATCTCCTCGAAGTGACGATATTGCTCCCCATAGATCTCCTGATCGTCCTGGTCGATCGGGTCAACCATTTGAAAGAACTTCTCATCGTTGAAGCCCTTCATGTCATCTGCAGGATTCAAGGTCTCCAAGTGGCCGCAGAAGTAGGCCTCCTCCGTCTCGTTGCTGGGCACCTTCTCCATATAGTAATTCTCCTTCATAGTGGATTTGCCTCGTCCCTTTCTGTCAGGACATTCTCGATGCCAGTGACCAACCTTTTTGCAGGTTACACATTGGCTGTTCTCTTTGAGCTGATCAATCAGCTTCCCTTTTCCTTGTTTCCTTTGTCTTTTCCTGTACCTTTCCAGCCACCGAATCCTCGGGCCAGTTCTTTTGCTTTCTTCAACTTCAGGCTCTGGCTGAATGTCCTCTTTTGATACATGGTGTTCAGGACTTCGCAAACTTCATGTTCATCGAGAAGTTCATCTTCGGTGGCTCTGTACCTTCTTCACCGTCCTCATCGTCGTTCAACTCTTCCAGGACGGCCTCCAGAATCTCGTTCTCATCGGTGTAGTCCGTGTGGTCATCGACGTTGATGTGGTGCACTGGTGTAGTCGATGATGTCCGGTTGAAGTCTTGCCCTTGTTCTTGTTCATGTCAACTCCAACCTCTTTGGCCATGAGCTTTGTCTCATGCTTGTGAACCCATTCTTTCACATCCTTAGTGGCATTGCTACCCGGATTGAAGTTCATCATGTTGAGGTTCAAGGCATTGATGAGCAGGAATCCGTTGTAGGCATCGGACAAAACCACCTGATGTGTTAAGAACTCTCGATGTCCTTCTTGTCGATCTCTCCTGAGGTGGTAGGTGACCTTGGCCAAGGAACTCAACAGGTCTTCTTCCTTGTCGTCCCCGAAATTTTCGGGCTGGTCCATGGCGGCAAGCAGGCGGTGTCCACCTTGTTCATCTTGCAGCCATTCCAGGTTCTTGGCCCAATGCTTGAACGTGTGGCGTGCTACCCCCTGAAGTCCTTGAAGGATCATGGGACCCTGCGCTGTCTTCCGGACTTTGGTGGTTGCTAACCACAATTTGGCCTTGATCAGCCAATCTTGAAAGGCGTCGCGTCGCCGTCCCACTCTGAGGCTTGGAAGTGGATCCACCCCCTTTCCAATCCTCATCATCACCACGTCCTCGGCCTCGATCTCGGTCTCGATCTCGGCGTCGACGATTCCTCAAAAACTCTCTAAACTCATCACTGTCGAAGTCATCAGACATGCCAGCTCCAGCTGGCGACGCATCACGGCCTCGCACTCGAGACCTGGTTGAACCACCTCCAGCATGCTCACCTTCAGCAGCTTCGCTTCCATCACTTCTGGGCACCGGCTGGGTGCTTCCATCTGCCATTGCACTACGGGCACTACCTGGAGCTTAGTGCTCCGCTACCACTATGGATAGCATCTACAGGATCGCGCTCTTTTCGATCCGACCTAGTGCAGGGTCCCGCCCAGCTTGAGACGGCGTCCAAGATACATTTCTCGATTTGTGCGTGTTTTGACCAAATGGGAGTTCGATGCCCGATTCACAGTAGTATATATGTAGAGATTTTTTTTGTGAGTTTAATTGGAGTGGATGTTGGCTGCAGCGCCGGTATGTCTCAGACTTGGAGATGATAATTCGCACCACAACTTTCAATGTGCACGGCAATGCCGGGCGTCCGGCAAATGTTCTAAGTTATGTATACAGTTGAGGCTGATTTACAATGACAAACTGTTTTAGAACATAGTTTGAAGAACTTGTTTGATAATGCCGGTATGTACATATATTATATATATATATGCATAGAGTGGACTGGACCAAAAATCTTGTAAACAGTGCCCAGCCTCCATCTGAGGTTCAAAAACGTTCTAAGTTATGGAGAGTGCATGGAGTATGCTTGATGAATTTTTTGTTTATGTTTGACGGAATTTCTGGCGCGTCCTGCGCAAAGATGCTTGTACAGTGCGCAGTTGACACATATCGGGCTTGCAGGTACATGTTTTGGTGTCGATATGTGTATATACACATAGAAATATATAGTTGTGTTATAGGGGATGGAATTTCCTCTACAGAATCGCGGGGGTTGGGACCCCGATAAGACGATTTGTTTATCCAATTTTCCTTGGCTCATATGGAGGCTTGAATGTCCTGTCCTTCAAGATCCTCGATTGTATATATAGAGAATGGCAGTTTTTTAACAAACTCGATTCTATAGAGGTTTTCAAGTATAGTGCAGTGATTCTTGGTGCCTCAGGCATACGGACTCTATAGAGAATTCTTAGCATGATTTTGCATGTTAGGAACTGCAATTCTATAGAGATTGATGGTTTTTCAATGCTTCCAGTTCAAAACTCGCCTGATTCCGAGAGTACGCAATTGGGATTGCTCAAAAGAACCCTGCGGAATGGGTTCTTGGATGATCTTGGATGAGTCAGGATGATTCTAACAAATTTGGAGCATCCAAGCAAGTGACCGCTTAGGAATACATGAAACACTATAAAATCTGGACACAACATCTGGACACTATAAAATCACAGATCCTTACCTCTCCATAACACCTTCTATTTTCTCTATAGATTCCTGGCAAATCAATGCCTTCCAAGAAAGTTGCATTTTCATGTTTTCTTGAGAACCCTGTACCTTGATTCTATAGAGAACCAGGTTCTTACTCCTATTGAAACACACCTGTTCGGGAGTACCTTGGGACCTGCATTTTTATAGACCAAAATCCTCAATATTCACAATTTTCCACAGCTTTTGACAGACTCATGGCCCTCAATTCTATAGAGCTGAATCTTTGTTTTTGGACTCTTTTCCTGTGTTATCCTCAATTTTTTATAGGGTCAAAAAGTGACCCTCATTGGAGGGGGGTTGGTCCCAGCATTTTAGCACTATAAAATCGCTACCCCCGGGGTACCCACTTAATTCCAACCCCTATGTTGTGGTTTTTGTTTGAACACAAACAAACTTAATAAACAAATAATTAAACACACACACATATATATTATATATATATAGTGATTTCTGCAACGCCGGTTGACGTGGATGCATGTGTCTTTAGGTGCTGGGAGCTTGGGGGTGCAGGAAAAACACAGTTTGGGACCTGGGAGGAACTTCCCTTGGGCCGGTGGAGTGATCGGATCAGAAGTTCAGAGTTCAAGCGCAACTTGCAGTGTAATATATAACATAGAACACGCACCATGAACGTACCAACCTGATGATGTATACAAACGCGTTGTATGTATATATATATATAACAAGGAAATCAATAGGAACTTCAACGGACATTAAAAGGGAAATCAATGGGAGTCAAAAGGGGTTTATAGATGGATACAAAAAGTAAATCAGTAGCAATCAAAAGGGTTTGAAATTGAATTCAATAAGAATCAAAGCGACTTCAAACGGACGTCAATAGGAATCATGTGGGGAGAAAAAGGATATCAATAGGAATCAAAAGGAGTTCAAGACGAAATCAATAGGAACCAACAAAAATCAAACGGAAGTCAATAGGAATCCAACGGATTTTAAAGGACATCGATAGGATTCAATAGGAACCTAAGTTTTGTATACTGCGTGAGGCCTTGGGAGAAACATGTACTTAGAACATCACAGCTATCCACTTAGAACATTAGGGACAATTTGGCTGTGATGTTCTAAGAGCATGTTCTAAGTTACTAATGCTCTAAGTTTGAGTGTTCTAAAGAGTGGTTTCTCTGAGGTTCTAAAATAGCGGTTTTTGAAAAACAATGTTCTAAGTGTCGTTGCGTCACTATAAACTGATCCCTCAAAAATGTACAACTTCCAGGGCATTGACACAGAACGTGATTGTGTACAAAAACCTATATGCTTGCAACCAGCTGATGCATATGATGCAATGGTGCGAGGCATATCAAGACATAGACTGTTGAGAGGACCCACTTGTGTGCCCTTCATGAACCTGGTGATGCAAGTGATACAATAATCAGAGATATGGGAACTCATAGATGACAAGTGAAAACCATGCGTTCTCAATGTTTCTTCTACCCCCACTTCTCTCCCAGACACACTTCATGGTGCAGGATATGCATTTCCTTCCAAACGCTAAAGCCAAACAAACGTGACCCAACACAATCATGCCCCTCGAGACCTTCGGTGCGGCCGGGATTGTCTTTTCATGGCTTTGTTCAAGGAGGCCGAGGACGTGAAACAAAGGCTGAAGGAGTGTGAGAACATGTGTGCGCAGTCCTAGACAGTTGGACCCAACGTGGTGGAAAGCTCTCCTGCAAAGGTGTCCTTGTGTCTTAGTCGCTTCATGCTCATCAAGACTAGATTCGACATGTCTGGACTATCTTGGAATGTGATATCAAGCAATGTGCCAGAGAGAATTTGACAGTGGATTTCTTTGGATTGGTCCGCTCATTGCGGATTCGCTGTTTGAAGTGAAGCTAGTAGACTTGGATGAGCGAAGTACCAACAGCTAGTGGGGCTAAGATCTAAGGTGAAGCTTTTCGCAACAGGCCAGGCTCCCGGCACGACAGGACGATGGATGAATTCTTGTGACAGCAATGCTTCCACAGCATGCTCTTTCACAGAGTAGCTTCACAATTCTTTCAAGTGACGTGCTGTGGCCTTCTGCGCGAATGATTCTCGCCAGCCCTTCGGGGACTGATGGTGTCATGATGGAGGCGAGGGCCGGCAATCATGACTTCGGCTGTCTTCCTGTGTTTTCACCAGATGCATTGAATTCTCAGATTCAATCCAGGTACTGACGCTCCGTGCTGAAGCCAGTCGACTGGTGGAACAGCAGGAGGAGCTGCAACGCCAGGTGCAGCCCATCAGGACCTCTTCTGTGCAGATGAATTCAGACCAGGAAGCTGCACTTATTCTTTTTGGAATGATCCGATTTATTGTTCGTTTGCATGTAAATGTGCAATGATTGCTTGTCAAGAGTCTGATATGTCAACAAACATATACTTATGATAGTCAACTGACTCCAGTATACCGAAGACCTTTTACCTTCTTTTACCTTGGTCCCAGTCACGTCTTCCCCGCATATTTTCGCGCCAGCACACTCTCAGCGGACAGCGCTTGCGCAGCGATCTGGATGCCTTGAAGAACGTCATGAAAGACGAGGTGTGCATGGTGCCGACAAATGCCTTCAGAGAGCTTCTAAAGCTAAGGGAATCTGTTGACATGACCACATTTCAGACCTGAAGCACTATATCACTATATCTCATCATATAACTAATTGAATGGATTTGACCTTTTGTACCTGACATTACTGCAGCGCCGCGACGCTTTGCAGGGCTTGGATTTGTTTGGGTCTTGGTGATACGCGCCATTAACACTTGCCGGAGCGGAGGAAAGAGCAACTGTATGACTGTATGAAAAAAAACAACGCAGACACTCAAAGCCTCAACAGCTGAAACAACGTGAAAGTTGGTGTTGCTGAATCCAGAAAACTATGCAAGGACTGATTTGCACCTTGTTGACTTGTCTTAGGTCAAGCTTCAAGGACGCCAGGGGGCTGAGTCAGGCTTCGGAGGCTAACTTGGCCAGCCATGACGCACTAGTGGCAAAGGTGTTTCTCTCGCACGAACTCGGGCTTGACAGCAGATGCACACGTGGAATGCCTGATATCCAATTGAACCCAAGAACGAGAGTCCATTGAGATGACGGCTGGATTTCGATCGGTCAATAGGTTGGCTGACTCGCCTCAGGAGATGGATGGTGGGATAGGCTTGGGCCAGGGACTTTTTGGACCACAAGTGCGGCCTAGAAGTTGCAAGTTTGCAAGACAAGACCACATTGGAATCAATTCAGAACCAAAGGAGCATTAGATGCTTGCATTGGCTTTGATCACCTCTTTGTAGTGCAGATACCTTGTCCTTCAGTATTCGTGGTGGAAGCGAATTCTGCAGCTTTGCAGTTCAGGTTTATTGAATTCATTTTGGTGTAGTCTTTAACATGCGAATGAAACGTCTACTTAGTGGGTATCTAAGAGCATTCAAAAGCGCTCCGCCTGAGTACCTGAAACCCTGCCCAGACGTGGAGCATCTTCGGGAAAGCCTCCAGAAGTGCGAGGTTTGCTGTTTCAGTAGCTGTGTGTAGCTTTTGCGTCTTTCGACAAGCGGTGTGCATCCAGACTTTTTGGCCAGGAGGCTTTAGAGGCGGAGAAGAGAGCAAAGGAACACTCTCAGGAGTCTCTACACCAGTGCAAAGAGGCACGATGGAAATGGGTTGACAAGACAGGTCCGGTGTCACCTGTCAGGTGATACGCGTCACGGATACCGATGCCAACGTTTCGAGCTCGGCACAGGTAGCTGCTCGGTTGATGGCAGAGCGGGACACCACGCAGGGCCAGCTCGAGGTGGGAAAGTGAGAGGCATAAGAGACATCATTCAGGTACTATTTCAATCTCTGGATGAAGCTGCGGGTTCAGTAGCTGTAGCTTTTCGGTAGTGAAGGTTGCAAACAAGTCAAGCTTGCCCGAACACACCCTTGCGCTGTCACTGCAATTTGACCAGCAAGCATGAATGAAGCGTGGCAGTGTTCCCAGCAAGGCAGGACACAAGACAACTTGAACCATTCCCTATACAGTACAGTTGCTCCAATTGTTTCGACCCAACATTGTCCTGGCCCAGACCACAAATGCGTTCAAATCCCTTCTTTTGATGATTTCAGCACATTTGTGTCTTCAGATCTTCCAGGAGCTCACCCATCTCGCTGGCGCCTTCAAGAAACAAGCAGAGGGAGAAATCTCCGAACACCGGTTCAGTGCTTGGAGACAGAACAGCAAGCATTTGCATATTTGGTGGCCATTATGGCTAATTAGTAGGTTGGAGGCCATTGCTAGTGGGTTGAAGGCCATCGCTATACTAGAGTCGACCTCATCGCTACGAGGGTGGACGCCATCGCTAATAGGTTGGTGGGTTATTTTTCACGAACCGATTCTTGGCGAGGTGGTTCCGCCTGGTGACACAGCTCACGCGTCAGGGTGACTTGGAGGCTTCCCAGAGCCTCAAGGTGCGGCGCGGTCTTCGACTGCATTTGGTTTGTTCACATCAATCCCTTTATAGACAACAGGCTTGACGACTTTACCTTTCACTCCTTTGAATGATTCCACAGGGATTGCGTTAGCGGGATTTGTAAGTGTTGAGATAGAGACCCGACACAGGGTTTGGTTTTGAGGCATTCTCATATAGATGGGTCAATTCAGTCTGGTTTTTTTTTAATGCAATATCGTTAGAGCTCTCCAAAACAAGGACACTTAAACTCGCTTTTGATAGAGGAGAGCTGGTGCCATGGCTTCCGGAAGTGGCAGGTGCCATGAGACAGACAGTTGCTGGGTTTTGGAGATGCATTGCCAGCTGAACTGCATGTGCCCATCTTTCGCTGTTGGAGACTTGAGATATTTTCAGATAATGCTGTCCTTTTGTTTGAAGGGCAGCGCTTTATTTTTCTGATGCCTGTGCCAGTCCTTTGCTGATACCTTAGCAGAGAAGATCAACCACCGCCCGACGGCAGTATTTGCTCAGGACACAGGGCCAAGAGCTGCACAATACGTCATGAATCATGAGTTGATCATCAAATCAACACCTCAGATTCATTGGCTGTCAAGTCCACAGTCCTGCTGTTGGCTGGCCAAGTGAAAGCCAATGCACCTTTGACTGCAGTGAATGAGGGAGCTTGAGACATGCTGGTGGACAAAGTCAACCTTGGAATATATCCCTCTAAGCTCAACTTTTCCAGGTTGTGTCGGGGAGAAAAGAGAGGCACTTTGTGGCACTTGCGCTTCCTCGCCAAAGGAGATTGCCACCAGTTGTTCAAAGGGCGTCGGTCCCCAAGCTTGCGGGAGAGGGTGGTGGGCGGTGGCGGCGCTTAGAGCACCAGGTTAAACCTGGTCCATTGTTGTGTTGGTGCCACCTTTGTTTTTGGGGCGGTCCTCCAATGTCCTAATTCGGCTTCAGACAAGTAGGAACCACCAGCTCTCTTCATGCGTGATCTTCCTTGAATTTCTTGAGCTGTCAACTTCGCGGAAGGATGAGTTGAGACAAGTAATGCTGCTGGAATCACAATCAGCTGCAGCATGACATGGCGTCCAGTGAAATATGGTATGGTATGTGTTTGAACCACAATGAAATGAGTCATGGCTCATATGGTTCCTTGCAATTTGACAAAAGCAGTACCTGTGAGATCCTGAGCAAGTTGAGGACAAAGCGCTGCAAGCCCTTGAGGAGAAGTGGCTGAGCCAGGCAAGCAGCAGCATGCCAAATGCCACTTATAGCGCTTGGCAGGGTTAGCAGCAGCAACTGCAAGTACGCGCTTTTATCCTCTCGTCCTCCACAGGGTTTACTCAGACTGGTGTTTGACTGGAGAGAGTCGTGATGAATGACCAGAAGATATTCGATGATATTCGATTGATCTGAATCTGGCTTTGATCCAACGTGTTTGTGTGATGTTTCTTGCCTCTACCATCAAATCATGTTTTGCTCACTTGTTGCGTCCTCCAGCATCCACCACTGGTTGCTTGGGAAGAACCAACTGCCCAGTCAGCACTAGCAGCCACTAGCAGCAAATCAAAGGGCCATGAACCCAAGATTGGGGAGTCTCCGGAAGCAGGAAATCCCATCTACCAGTGTCTCGGGTTGTAAGCTTATTTGCTCTGCCGCTTGCTTTTGATGTGACTTGTCAGGGTAAGCAGCTGAGCTCCTTTTCCGAACTTGCTATGACAAAGCTCCAGCAAGCGGAAGAGAGCTGGGAGGCCAGAAGCCATGTCAGCGTCCATACTGATGATTTGTTTGTTTCTCCCCAAACAGCTTTGCTGTGAGGGGGGTTCTCAATTCTTGCATAGAAACGATGCTGGGCCAAGATGATTCCCGCCCTTGTCTCCCATGGCATGTCTGGATGCTGGGCTGAGATGACTTTGCTTTGTCTCCCTTTGTCTCCCCTTGTCTCCCATGGCGTGTCTGGATGCTGGGCTGAGATGACTTTGCTTTCTCTCCTTTTGTCTCCCCTTGTCTCCCATGGCGTGCTGGGATGCTGGG